AAGCTGATTTAGCTTTTTTTGTGATATTTTTTGAATAAGATCTTCAAAATTTGAATTAATAATCCTATGATTAAACTAGAACATCTTTGATACTTAAAGAGTTGTCTCTATTTATATATCTTTTGAAACTACTATTCTAAAAGTGCTTTATGAATGGTAAAGTGCTACTTGAACATTGGAGAATGAGATTCATAAAACAATATTGCCTAGATTCCTTAATTCAAATTGAGAAAAGCTACCTGTAGAGCATAAATAATCTAGTAAAACAATGCATATAAATTAATAAAATAGCTCTTATGAATATTAATTAACAAATATTAATTTATTAAATTAAAGAGAACGAAGTAGGTACAATTAATTTAGGCATCATATAATACAAATATTTATAAATAAATAGACTATATACACTGGTAGTCAAATTAGATCTCTGTGATATAAATCTTTATGAACCTGAACAGCTTATTTGTAGGCCGATTACAAGTTTTAGTAAAAGCCAACTGCTCACTGCATGAAGGAAGTACTCTAATACCAACACACTATAATACCATGTTTGTAATATTGATCAGCCTAATTTTTTTGATCTTTAAGATAAAATTTAAATCATTATTCTTTACAAATTATAAAATAGATAAAACAAATTTATTAATTGAAAATAGATACCTTTAATCGCCTTTGAAATTAATTTTGTGCTAATAATTTTGCTAGTATACAATTCATCAGAATGTTTTGATATCGGCAATGATTTAACAACTTCATCTACATCTAAGACTTGCTTTTTAATTTTATTATCATTTGAACTAGTATCTTATCAAGCTAACCACTTATTGTTTTATAAACATCATAAGTTTCAGGCCATTTTAGTACATCAGAATTTATGTATTTTTTAGCCAATTCAATATAGCATTTAAGAATTCCAGATGCAAACTCTGGTCACGATCCTTTGCAAATCTCTACTCCAAGTTTAGCATTAAATTTGTGTCCATCAAAAGGTCTTTGCTCGGTTGACATTTCTGCTATAATAACACCAAACTCATAAATATCTGCTGCTTGTATAAACTGTTTCTTGCCTAATAAAACTTCTGGTGCAACATAAGGCATAACTCCATAAATTTCTCCTAAAACATTTTCATCTTTATTTCTAAACAATCCAAGATCTGCGATATATGATTGTGTACTTTCATTAATGAGTTGGTCTTGCAAAATGTTGCCACTATGAAAATCTGTGATTAATAAGTAAAAGTAGAATATAAATTGTAGCGGATCTAAAATATTATTAACGAGAATAAAATAAATTTAAAAGTATATAATAAAATAAATACTTATAAGCTTGATTACAGTATATTTTTATAGATACAGTATAATAGCGTGATACTCGATGCTGTAACATATGTAAGCTCTAAGTACTATTGCTATTTTCAAAGTTTACAGCTAAATTCAAAATTGAGTTTTAGATTATGTATTATATTGATACATACCACATCAATATCGATATCTAAAACTCGTGATTACTCACCATCGCCATCTCAATAATAATTCAGATAAATTGTCGCGAAAATAACGCGCAGGGGTGAAATTACGAATTTCAGCCTAAATTAAACTAATTCAGGCCATTATTCTAAATAACGCTCATGCCTGTTATTTTGCGACAATATGGTAAATGGTAAATTATTCATATAATAAATAAAAATATAACAGTGTATTAACAAAAATTACTTTTTATAATACTTCATGTTCTGACTTCTAGTTATAACCATTACTGTCAACTATGAAGAAAAATGAGAACGAAAAACAAGAATAGTATGAAAATTTTCTACTTTATGCTTTTTCTTCTTTTGGTAGCAGAGCACCTGCTTGTGTGGTGTTCTATATTTTTTTTTCTTTTTCTTTAGGAGTTTTCTTCTACTGAAATACCTCTGAAGTATCTTCTTCTGAAATGTTTTTTATTTCTTTTAGAGGATCTTCACCCTTTAGAAGGCCTTCCTTTCTTTTGAAGTACTTTTTCCTTTTGAAATATTTTCCTTTCCTTTTGGAGTATTTTCTCTTCTTCAGAGTGTTTTCTCTCCTTTTGGAAGCCTTTTGTTCCATTGTGAAGTGACTTCTCTTCTTTTGGAGTGTTTTTCTCTCCATTTGAAGTAACTTCTCTTTTTTTAGAATGGTGCTCTCCTTAAGAAGAAAAAAAAAACACACAGCAAGCTTTAAAAAAAAAGCTAGTTG